ACCGATCAAAATTCACGAGAGAAAGAAATACCCAAGTTGATTTGGGATTAAATGCGCACTTTCAAAAAAGTTAAGGTCTATTTTGAAACTTTATTATTTTATGATTACACCCCTCAATTTATATCATAGTTAAGGTTTCTGTGATGATGAAACGCTGCGTTTGATGTCTGATTGATTGTTCGGTTTGATATGTTTCCTATCAAATAAATGATTGGTTTATTCGATTAAAAATTCACGAAAGAGTGAAACAGTGACCATACCCGACCAGAAGGAGCTTCTGACATCGATTAAAGTAGTAGGATCGTCGAGGGGATGGGTGGTTACGAGGAACATATACGACTCAACATTGCATGTTCAACCCTTGTGCCTCTGCTTCCTCACGCAAGGCTATCTCTTTGCCTCCAACAAGCAATCGAATCTGCAGGATCTCTCTCTCTCGGCCTCGCCAGACCAAGAAGACTGTATAGTGGCCGCCAAGTCAACCGGTTCATCTCTCATTGTGTGTCGGCCTGGTGACTCGGATTGGACACGTATCGAGACCCCCTTTTTTGCCTCAAAGATGATATATTCCGTGAGGGATCGTAAATTCTATCTCAACAGGGTGAGTCATAAAGAGTACGATGGTCCAATTGATCTCGTCGACACTAGCTCCGGCTTCCCTCAGATGAGTCTGTTCCAGGGATTCCCTCTCTCCGACATCCCCCAGAGTAGACTAGAACAGGTCTCCTCAATTACCAATTCTCAACACATTGTCGAGTCACCATCTGGCGAATCCTTCGTCGTTTACTGGTATAATTCATCATTCCTTTTTATCCGTATGAGATGATTTGCGTAGAACCGTAATAAGCTGTTGGAATTCTGAGTAAAAAGGGGAACAGATAAATCTCTTGCTTGATTCTATACTCTGTTTGCTTTATGACATGTTGTTTGAAAACAAAATCCTGTCTTGGGCTATATGTCTCTCACTCTCCAATGGTAACACATGGCCTTGCCTTAAGGAGAAGAATTGTTGCAGTGTAGTTAGGTAAAGACTGTAAGCAAGTAGAGTGAAACGTAGAGAAAATAATAATCTCATGCTGCCTCTTGTCTCTTAAAGGTGTAACGAGTACTTGAACAGAGAAGAAATCGAGCCTTCACGTGCCAAGGAACCTCCTTATCAATCCTCCATCACGAAGAAGCCCACGGGGTTTGTGGTCTTTAGGCAAGACCCTGAGCAAAAGATGAGTTGTTACACTGAAGACATTGGCGATCTCTGCATTTTCCTAGGCAGCAACGAGGCCTTTTGCGTCTCTGCAACCGAATATCCTGGACTTAAGCCTAATTCCGTCTACTTTGCAGACCTTGACACAGGCTTCGGTTTCTACGACCTCTCTTCCAAAACGCTCCATGCCGTCATCAATCCGCCCCCTTTCTACTGCACCACAAGTGGCTGGCCCCTCTCCAGTAAAATTTAAGTTGTTGTAATAATCTTTTTATTATTTCAGTTGGATAAGTCCTTTTCTTTTACTTTTCTTAATGCTGAAGGATGGATGAGTTAAACAAGTATGCGCATATATTCTCAGTTCAAAAATTATTATAGGCCGTCTTAATGGAGAATGAGACCACAAACCACACATGAATAGAACGAGACGGTCCTACTGTACACATCAAGCTTGCATCAGAGACTGTTTGTGTTTGGTCGTTGACTCGTATTGTACCTTTGAGTAGTGGTTTCTGTTTGCTTTCGACTGGTTCACTGACCTAGGCTTTTCTGGCCATCGAGCTGTGTGGTTTGGTTAGCGTTATATGGAGTAGAAGCTTCTGTTCAGCTAGAATTTCACTTATAATTGGTGTATAACAATAATTGTTTGTCCAAAACAAAGAAAACTGAAAACAAGACTTATAATAATTAATAATCTTAACCACTTAGAAAACCAGAATATTTTACATAGATAAAGCACACAAACTTTCGACCC